TAAGGGCTTAGAAACATACAAATTTGGCATAATATGATATATCTTACGATGTAAACATTTTACTACTAAAAGGGCTCTTAATGGAACATAGGACATGTATAAGTATATGTAAGCAAGTGTTTCAATTATGAGCTAGCGGTTGTAATTAAACGGCGTATGCTTAAGTGATGTTATATTTTAGTGTACAAAGGGGCACTTCCATCTCGTACAACGTTGCACATTTTAATAACAAATTGCGCTTTGCTTATGAGTTACGAATACATGGAATCTAATATATAAAATTCTCGTGTCACAGTTTTCGTTGCCACACTCCTCCGAAACGGCTCGACCGATTCTCATGAAATTTTGTGTGCTTATTGGGTATGTCTGAGAAACGGACAACATCTATTTTTCATCCATATTTATACTTATTTAGGGGTCCATCCCCCTAAATGTTAAGGGGGATGGACCTCTAAATATTTTTTTTTATTTTTAGATATTTTTTTCTGTTTTTATTTTTTTATGATACAGCATTAAAAAATACATACAACCCTTAACTTTCACCCCTCTCCGATCAACCCCTATTTTTTTATTAAACATGATATACATGACAGTTTGTCGGGTCAGCTAGTATTAATCTAAAATTATTGTGATCTGTGGTCTTGATTTTTCTATGAAAGTTTATTTCATGTACACGTTTCTGCGTTTGTTTATTTAATATTTTTAAGGCTGCTTACCGCCAAGAAACTAAAGAACCTGAATATAATTTTATTCAGCCTATGATGAATATTTAGGACAAGTTTGTGTTTATACAAGAGCCGTACATGACGTAAAGCATTCTGATCCCTGTCAAAAACAACGCATGGTAAGAATGGGTTTTAGAAATGAGTCATAGCGCGAACTATAACTCTAATATGTATAAATCCAATAAAGGGTCTCTGAATCTTACCCTATAAGGTATCAATAAAAAAAGAACATACAGTACTACGTTGTCTGATCTCGAAACGTTATATTTGAATTACGAACGATCGCGTTCGTTCCCTGTTATTGTGTATAGTATAGTGTTTTATTTTATTTTCGTTTAACAATCAATATTATAAATAGTCTACTCAATCCGGGAAGTTTGTATTACCGGCAGTTATCATTTTCATTGCTTATTCTAATCTGTGGTTGCCTTCTGTGCCTTTGACTTATTACTTTGACACTTAATTACTAAATACTAATTAAAAACATTATATAACTAACTCGTGTGATTAAATCAAAACGTGTCCTAAACCGTCTTTCTTCGTCCGATTGTTCTTTGTAGGTACTATATCCGTCTTTCCAATAAAAAGTTGTAATAGGCTAAATAGTAAATAACAGTGTGAAAAATAAAGGGTTATTGAGAGTAATGTATATAAAAAAACATGGCTTTAAAATATTTTTTAAAGAAAATAACTTGTAAGAAATCATATCAATGGATTATTAAAAATATTGATTGATTAATAATTATCTAATAGTCACGTGACACTTAACGGCTACAGATTAGTCTAATCGAAAATGACGTACCATGCTAAATAGTAATATGTCTTTCCCTGTCTAATCCTAATATACAATCTTGTAGTTTTATTTCGTCGGTGACAATTTTTGCCGCTCTCTCTAAATTAAAATTACCTAACCGTATCGTGGTTATCTCAATAAATTTGGAACTTCACATAGATAATGCATCTCTTCTATAAATCTAACACTTGTCTAGACTTAGCTAATGTAACAGACTACAATTAAAGAAAGTAGCTTTTTCTGTAAAAAATGAGATCTTACCTCTATAATTATTAAAACATTTAACATCTATAATTATTAAAACTTACCCGTCTGCCTCCTGTAACATATAAAAATATTTGAGAGGCTTTTATCGGACAGTTATATATTAAGTATCTTTAAAGATATAGTGCAGATAATACATAAACTATAAAACTACAAGTACGGAGGTTAAAATGACGTTAGCCAATATTGATTATGTTTCATTAATCTTGTCCCTTTTCTAGGCTTTCAATCTACACTGGGCAACGCCTAGACCGTTTGTCAAAACAAAGCCTCTACTGATTCCTTCGATTTGTCAAATATACCACACGCGATAAATCGGGAGGCAATTGGCTCTGATTTTCGGAATAAATTGTTTTCATTAAGGTTTTTTACAATTGCGTTCGCCTAGGTCATTGGTTAATTCGGTTCCTAACTAAAAAGTCAAAATCATTTAATCATATAGGTAACACAATATACACTTATGAACGTCAAAAAAGCAAATGTATATTAATTGCTTCTAACTTTACATTTAGTGCCAGTTCTCAAATCAAGGGCGTAGAAGAACTGGCAATGTTTTTTTACACAACGTTTGTAAGGAGCTGCAACCATGACACCATGTTCCACATGACTACATAGTTAACGAAAATTTAATAACCTTTATTAAATTTATACACTACGTCTCCAACTACGATAATATTTTTCGGTTTTTGCTTTATCATTATTTTGTTTAGCCATTGCAATAAACTGGCGAACATAGTTCCACTATTAAAATAAATATATACCTACTAGTTTCAAAAACTTATAAACATATTTTAGTATTTATCATTTGAAGTACGCAAGGAGTAATTTATTTACAGTATATTAGATGAAGATATTATAAGGCTATATTAATAAACAAAAGACGTATTACATAAGACAGAATGAAGATCATTTGTCAAACAGACGAGTTGTCTCGATAAGTGCTCTAATATAGTAATTTTACTCATAATAGCTACAACCTATAAAATATACTGAAATACCTTTTATATGGCTTAAGGATTATGATTATAATTATTTTTATGAGAGGACTTTGTAAGGACAAATTGATTGGATTTTCTAAATTCAACGCGTTTCCATGTTAACGTAAAATTTTACTGAGTGCGGGATTGTATTTAATCCCGTATATATTTTGTCCTGTAAATTAGTAATTGTTTTGATTTAATTCATATTTAGGAAGGAAATTTATTTAAGGGTTGCTAAAATCAAATCATCATTTATTGCACTTTCATTCCGCTGACTCTGCGCCCCAAAAAGTCCTGGGCTCCGAAACGAGATACTTCCATAGTGCTTCCTGTCCTAGTGGTCGGAGACTAGTACGTCGGCCTAAGTACAGCTGGATCGATAGAGTACTTGCAGCAGAAAGCCAGCGATTGGCGAGAAGTGACATTTATTAATTTAAGTAACATTAAGTATATTCGTCGTTATAAAATAATAAAAATAATGAAATGCTTATAAATTTAAGCGTTATTAAGTTTAAAATAATAGTGTTCTTCATAATTGTCTTATATTTTAAATCAATTTACAGTTGTTATAAAATAAATTGGTTCAATAGAATAAATTGTTTTATACAATATGCGTAAGCAAAATAATATATATACGTATAGATTTTAGTGGAATCCGTTATGCTATTTTATTTTTGATAGATTTCATTATCCCAAATAATTCCATTTTAATAATAGTACAAATTCCTTCTCTTTTAAGCAACTTTGTTCAATATAGTTCTTATTTCGAATGTAAAACAAGACACATTCGGATAAATAAAATATAATTGTTCTCTGTCTATGAATAGAATAAAACAGGAAACCTCCTTTTTCATATCTTTTAAAAACAATTAATATTGAGTAGGTACTTTCTAAATAAATTAAAAATGCGTTGACAGCGCTTTGAAACAATCTGAAAATATTAATATCTGTAATATTTTGCGGCTTTCCAATGGTCAACCGCACTTTTTCCGGGGAATTCATAAGCGATGACATTTTTAATAACTTTCATCAATCAGTGTTGAGTGCCACTGTGGTAATAAAATGTAGAAATATTAAATCAATCCTTTTAAAATACCCCGTGACACGTCAATGACGCTTGATTGACTCACTTATGTGTTTGTTATGTAATCATATTTCTTTTATATCGATAAATCGTAGTAAAATTTTCTTTACCGTATGTGCAGGAAATGCAATTATAGCAATATAGCGCACATGGACGGAAAAATATATATGTCCGGGGCTAAAATCTACTAGAACTTACCTTAGGATTGTAAATGAGACCTTACCTTTTTTTCTTCGTTCATTTTAGTTTCTGAAAATATAATATCTGCCTTGTGATTCTGTATTAACTCACTTTTCGAACTCACACAGTGTTTATCAGAATGCCAAATCGAAAAATCACTGCTTCACGACTGATTTGAGCGCGACCGCCGCTGCGAAAACCGCTGTGAGAGTTCGAAAAGTGTGTTACAGAATCGCAAGGCTGTACTAGAATTTCCTTCCTCTTTTCATACTCTTGGTATGTGTTTCCTTGAATCGTTTAATTCACAATTCTACTATCCTATGTATTTAGAGTCGTAATTGAAATTTAGAACTATCAGGACAGGACGAAATGTTATTGTTTAGTACATTGCTAATCTAATTCAAGTTATTAATTAAATAATTAAAGTGCCCCGAATTAAATTTTAAAAAAAATGTTTTCGTCATTGCTTTTTCTTTAAGTTTTTCTGACTAAAATAATCATAATTGAAATTTGAAAATTTAACATAAAATATTTCGTTCACAAATGATTCACAAAGAATAAAATATACAATTCAAAAGATATTTCCCCAGAGATTCAGTTGTAGAGAACTTTGATTTATGATGTCAACGTGATATTTATGTGTGGTATTTATTTATTAAGTAGAAACAATTGACAAACAACTTTTCTTTCTTTATAGAAACACATACATAGTTACATAATACCTTCTTCTTTTCGTGACCTTTTGCGTTACTAAATGTAATACGAGAAACTCACAGACCTTCTGAAGCATTTAAAAGGTGTCGACTTTAGTGAATAATGTAATAGATTAAATGTTTATTTAAAGTTATATAATGTACATTATTTCAAGCACATTAAATGTGTTTGAAGTGCCATAATGGGGCAGGATCCAAATTATTATATGATATGGTTATATAACCCAGTATCACAATAAGTCCTTATTAATTTTCACTATTTTAACCTTCCTCTTCTACCATCCCTATATCTTCGTCTTCTTTCTTCTTGCCGGCAGATTTCTTTGCAGAAACGGCTAATTTATACTGATCTAAGTTCTCTCGTAGTGGTTCCACAAACCGTTCAAATTCTATATCAGCCATGGCTAGAACGTCTTGACCTGTTAAAGCTTTTCGTTTATGATGTTTTAATGTGTTCGTTGCAGCTGATGTCACGTATAGCACGAAAGCAAAGTTAGTTAATTATTTTGACTGGATTTAAATACAGCACATACGTATTATTATTATTTTTATTAAAGCTTTATTAATCCATACAACAATTGGTTATTTTGCATTCCTTAATATTAGTATTAGTTGTGTTAGTACAAATTTATGTTAGATTTATTTTTTAGTGGTCTAATTCTTGTATGGTCCCTTCTAGGGTAAAAGCCATCTCCATATTTTTCAATTTCTCCTTGTCTTGAGCAACATTCATCCAGTTTTTCCCCGCTAATTCTATAATGTCCTCTGTCCATCTCTTCTTTTGTCATCCGATACATCTTTTTCCAGTAGGTCCAGTCCATTCTGTTATTTCCAGCGTCCATCTTTTATCTTGCGTTCTAGCAATATGACCTGTCCATTTCCATTTTAGCCTTCGAGCGTGTTTAAGTGCATTTGTAAGCTTTGTTTTTTTGCGTATGTCAACATTTCTTATTTTGTTAATTCTCCTCAACTTCAAGATGCTTCTTTCCATCGCATGCTATATGCGTATACGCAAACAAAAACAAATAAAATCCATGAATTATTAGTACGAGGTTTGCATCCTTTTTATACTAACTTTTAAAAATAAGGACTTATAATATTTTACATATTAATATTAATGATACCGCATATAAAGGACATCAATTTTGCCTCGCGACAAGTTGCCATACATTACGGTACTTAAAAGTAAATGGTCTGATTTCATATTCAGCGCTACGGGCGGAATTTACGCCTCGCTAGACTATTCTAAAAGATGTTCCCTGTAGAAATATCCATTTATGAGAAACTAATAATGAATATGATATAATGTTTTATCTGTGATTTCTGCATCTGTTTCGTAGTTTCTTTAAAGACAAGTTTATATGTTGATGTTCCCTCTAAGAACTATTGGTTTCCTAACGTTTTTGGCATACAGGGAGCGAGCTCATCAACTCTGGGTTTAAAACCACTACGTCGCTAAAAATAGCTTAAACTTGAGAGAAGACTAAAAAACAAAAACATATAGGTCAAAGAAATTTATTTAATGAATTTACAGACACCATTTTAGAAGAACAACTAAGAAAACTGAAAACGAAATGTTTTCTAACAATATTGATATCAACAAAAAAGTTTTAGTCTGTCCTTAAAATTTTCCTTAATTCAATTTAAAAAAAATATCGTTCCATGTGATCTAATCTACCATTAAATTGTATCGGAGGATAACCTATTTAACTACACAAAAAATGAACTGAATAAAACAATCAAAAAGATACTTTCTTTTAAATAAATAGGCAAGTTAATTGATGGCACTGATGGCCAACAAATGATTCGCACTTTCTGAAAGAAATTTGGGATCCCAGGGTATAACTGATTAAGTCAAAACCATTATCGGTCAGAAATCCCTGAATCATCTGCTTTAAGGCACCAGAGAGTCATCTTCCTTATAGCCCGATGTAAGCGGAAAGAGGTTGCGTTTTTACTTATTTAGATTGTATATTGTGTATCTGTATATTACTCTTCCTTTTCTTACTATTACTTTTTCAAGAAAAGAGCGCACTGATACTTAAAAGGTCGGAACGCACTTGCGAGCGCGCACTTTTGGCTGTGTGTGTGGGTTAGCCGGTATATCTTTTTTTTTCTTTTTTTTTCGTGGGGAAATGCGTTACGCATACCCTCCCGCGGCACGGTTGACCTTGGTGGGGAAGGGTTATGTGGGACTCGCACAACAGTGCATACCCACTAAAACCCCACGGCGCCACCAGCAATCGCCCGGGGCAGGACACGGTAACAGCGTAGCCTTGTCCGCATCCAGCCACGCGATCAGCCGTTAGTATCACGGTCCTCTACGGCCACGAATGATGTGGAATGGACCTTGGCACAGCAAGGGCCTTTCACATCGGCCAATTCACCCTGTTTATAAAGCTGGGGGAGGTCGGGCACGATGCTTGCAGGGATGCGTCAGCATCCCTTCTTTTCGACGCATGAACCCCTGTTCCCCCGCTGGAGCAACTGCGTGCCCAGGATTACACACGGGGTTGCACGGTGCAACGGCGGCGCTGTGGTCTCCTACGGCGACGCGGGTGGGCTGCAGGATCATCCTCCCTGGCCCTTTCCGCCTCTTCCTTTTGGTGCATGACGGCTTCACAGAATCTCTGGAAGATTTCCCACATGCCGTCACTGTCCGAGTTTGTAACTGCTACTCTCACAATGTTATCGAGGGTAGCGTCCTCGCCCTGTAGCACGCCCAGTAGAGGCCTCCTTTCCACCTCCCATGCTAGGCAATCCTTTAAGGTGTGGAGCGCATCATCAACAACACCAGCGTCACAATGCTGGCAGGTTGGTGCCTCCTCACGCCCGACTACCTTGTGCAGATAGCTGCCGAAACAGCCGTGTCCGGACAATATCTGCACGAGTCGGTAGCTGAGGCGGCCCCACCGCCTCCTCACCCATTTGTCGAGATGTGGTCTGAATGCGTTGATGGTGTAGAACCCAGTGGTCAGGTGAACCACATGCTCGTTTGCAATTTTAATGATTTTTAAAGACAATTCACACCAATTGGCCTAGTCCCATGCTAAGCTGGTGAAGCTTGTGTTATGGGTACTAGGTAACGGATATACATACATATTATAGATAGATAGACAAAAATATTTAGAAAAAAAGTTAATAAAAAATATTTCATAGTGAATAATGATAAAATTAGCATCCATGGATTAAAAATTGTGAGTTAAATACTAGCTATCAATTATCTACTATGCGTTTAAACGCATAAAAATAGACATTTTAAACTAATTATTATCACTGTAAATTAAACGTTTATACTCTATGATATGGAAAACCCAAGCAGAGGTATTATAAAACGAAGGTTTGCAAAAGGCTTTCAATTATACCAATCTCATCACGTACCAAGGCTAAACGATATTTAAAATTTCTTTACTATTTGCATTTTTTCTCCACAAAAGTTTTGTGGTCACGAATCCCGTTACAGTCAGTAATTGCAAGGTGATTCGCGCATTTCGTAATCACATTATACTTGGTATTTAAAAAAATCTCTTCCACTTTCGCATAAATAGATTTAAGCATATACAAACTTTTATCTAACCCGTATTAATTCAGTAGTTTTATAACAAACAACTTACTTTAAGATTTTAACTTATAACTTTTAACTAACCTAAATCTTCCTGATTGCTTTTTCTTGACCTGACGGCATGCATCTTTCATTTAAAATAAATAATAGTTCTCTGTAGTTCTAATTATATTATAGTTTAAAATAACAAAACAAATTAACAGGAAACATATTCTACTTCAAGGGATCAAAATTCGTAGTAATGCGACTGTTCCTTTGAGATATTTAAATTTTGTTTAGATAGTTTGGAAAATTGACCCAAGATAATATGAGTCAACTGAAACCAGAGTTGCTGGTGGCAACTTGGGACAGCTGGGCCCATTTTTGATATGTTTTTTATTTTTCTGTGTAGTTGCTTTAATTAAATTTTCAAATCCATTCCCGGCACACTAAATATCGTATTGAAAAACACAGGCCCACATTCATAATTTATAGATTTTGTACCAATAACTATCGTTCTTTCATATATTGCAAGCAATGTATCGTTGGTATAAATTGTTTTCATAAAAGTCGTTTAAACCCAATGCAATTTCGTTCGAAACAGTAAACGTTGTAACTACTGCATCAGCGAGCAATATATGGGGCCATTAAATGAGCCAGCCCTGCGGTAGCCTACGAATGCTGCATTGCTGTCGATATAAAATTTCTATTTCATAGAATTTATAAAGAATATTAATCATTTATAATAACTAACTTCTTGCGTGCTTTGCTTACGCTTAGGTAGAATATGTTTGAGTATCCTTAGGCGCGAAACATACAGAATAGGCGTAAGGTGAAGGCGCGGCGCAGGCGCAGAGCCGGCGTGGAACAGATAAGGCACGGATGTGACTTATATTATATCAAAGAGGCGAAGAGACGGCACTAAGAGTTATAAACGCAGGCTGATTTTATCGTGATAGCATGTCTTCCTCTTCAGATGACGAAGATGCGCTCGCTTTGCTGCAACTCATTAATGTGCAGAGACACCGAACATATAGATGACGTGCCTGTGCCACGCCGCTTGAGTATAATTAACAACGTGCCGCTTACGTACATTTTGTATTGACGCGTTTTGAAGCGGCAAGATGCCTGCGCCGCGCCTTCACCTTACGCCTTTTCTGTGTGTTTCGCGCCTTAGAGAGCCTGGAAAAAGCTTTTTAGCTTAAAGAACTGACAAACCTGGATATTGTTATGCTTAAGCCTACTATTTTAGATATAACAGATTTTTAAGTAGATTCTTAGAAAACGAAATGACGCTTTTTTGGTCCACCTGAGAATTTAACCTGATAGCTTCAGAATTCTGAAGTACGCACTTTTTCAACTTGTGGGCAATACGGCAGTAAATAATATTTTTATTAGATAGGAGGCAAATGAAGTAGTGGTCCCTATTGCTAAAGTGATAGCCGCCGCCTATGGACGATCGTACGCCTTAAAAAGCGCTGAAACTTACAAAAAATCATAAATTTAAATCTACAAAACTAATTAACATAAAAAGCAAATATAAAGAAAATGTAATTAACAAAAATAATATTTCCTAACACTACCGCTTAAGAGGGTCTGAACTTTGTCCCAAATATCTAAAAATACGCTCTACGACCCTGGGGCGTCAATTATTAGGTTGAGCAGGTATCCTGAGGGATGGTGGAAATGTATTCATTCTTAAACCTATAAATCAATATACTCCCTAAGGTATATATCTGGAAACATTTGTTTACTTAAAAACCATTTTCCTGTTTCTAAATTCGGTATGAAAAATGTAGAATATAATTGTATAATATTTTAAGAGACCTTTAATATTTTTTATGATTTTTACCTTTTTTCTTATTACAAAATAATAGTTTTTTACATGAGATACTTAATATTATAATACGAACGAGATGTACGTTATCAGACAGCCGTTCCAATAATTGTATTAAATAAATCCATTTTAATGATATTAAAACTTAAAATATAGTTGCTGATCAAGGAAAACATTATAGAATATTATCTTACAATATATCTTTATAATTACATAATACATACTTTTAATTTTCTGATATTTCCACTATTATTATACAGAGAAAAGGCTTATTTGTTTGTAACGAAGATACGTAAAAACTAGTGGACCAAGTTCATTTTTTTTTCATAATTATATTGCTATAATATCCGTAAAATTGTGCGTGTACACACGTAAGAAGTGAAACTTCTTTATGATCTTATTTTTCGAAAAATGATCTACTATATGCAACTTTACAGAAATTCGTTAAATTAGGCTTTTATTATCATAGACATGAATACAAATATTTCATTTTACCTTATTACTACGAAGATTATAATAGAATTTCATTAATTGTAATAGTAATAAAATAAATTATTACTATCATTGAAAAACGTGACGATTTGCTACAAAATTTCTCCCATACGTCGATAAAGAAGTTTCATTCCAACGCCGATAAAGAAGTTTGACTTCAAAAAGCAACATGGCGCGTAACCGAAAAATGTGACGCGTAACGAAAAAATGTTACACTAAATTTTTTTCCAACCTCGATAAAGAAGTTTCACTTCAAAAGCCAAATATTTATTAACAAAATATGTTGAAATGTTCTGGCCACAAGTTTATGTTTGTATTCGTTCTTATTTAAATAATATAGACCTTATTTACGGTCGCCAACCACCAGCTGCTTCAGCACAATCCGATGAGGAAAGCAGATACAATAAATCACATATTACCTTAAGTAACTAAATTATTTTTTATTGATCATAATGTGCGTATGAAAAGAATGCTTTGGTAATAGAGTTAAAAATTCGAATTTAATTTAATTAATCTTTCTCATGATATAAAGTAAGGAATAGATGAATGGTCCATGACCTTCCTAAAGTGTTAGGTTTACCCTAACTAAATCTAAAAAATACATTCGTAAACCCCATCAATATTTAGCTCGTAAAACGTTTTTAAAAGCTTACATTGATTGTCTTTAATCGCATTAAGGGATTTAGAATTTCGCATTGTGAATATATAGAGAACTTTTAACACATGCAGCATATGTTTCACCATAGTTGTTTTTTGCTATTAAAGGAGTGTAATTTAGGAATTTATCAAGGAATCTGGACACTGAAGCAATCGAAGCCCAGCTGTGCAATTAACATTTGCTAGTATAAAGAAAACATTACGAGAAAAACCGGCATTTTTGAACGATGACGCAAAAACTTTGGACGATGTGTGGCAGAATCGTGGCAGAATACAGAATAATAGCTAGTCAATTAAACAAAGGCAGAAATGTGTGTTTTAGGTAGACAGTAGTATATAAAGAAGAGGGTTGTGTTTGTAGTACATTTCGAGTCTTCAAGCCGTCTCTTATAAGCCTTTAATAAATAGCCAATTACGACCTTATAAGACGTGATCGAATTTAATTACAATAATTTTAATTAATTAAAATATTTCAAAGGTTCGCCTTCACTCTTTTAAGGAATCGAATTTTAATGAGTTTTGCTGTAGGTTAATTAAAATAAGCGAATGCTTTATGTTTATTAGAGCAGTGTTGGCCTAGTGGCTTCAGCGTGCGACTCTCATCCTTGAGGTCGTTGGCTCGATCCCCGGCTTTGCACTTTCTTTCTATGTGCGCATTTAACAGCGAACGGTGAAGGAAAACATCGTGAGGAAACCGGATTGCCTTAGACCCAAAAAGTCAACGGCGTGCGTCAGGCACAGAAGGCTGGTCACCTACTTGCCTATTAGATTACCAAATGATCATGAAACAGATACAGCGATCTGAGGCCCAGACCTAAAAAGGTTGTAGTGCCATTGATTTATTTATGTTTATTAGTGTTTAACAATATGTAGTCATAAGTTCGCGCTAAGTCTCAACTAGTCGACTACGTCATCTGCGTAGAAAATACAATTACGCACTGTTGTTGCGGGTTATTCAGGATTTTTGTTCTTTAGTCGTATTGGAGACATCACGTTGATTTCGAAAACATTAGTATGTAATGTAATATTGATAAGGTCTGTAACTAAATTAGTCTGCACGCTCCAATTTGTAGCAAAGAGGCTTTATATATTTGAAACTCTGCCGGTTTTTAGGACCAATTGTTCAATCGAAAATACGAATCGTATTAAGTTTTTATACGAATTAATTTCGATTTTTTGCAGATTATGATTTATTACTGCATTTAGGACTAGATTAAAGTCATATTCAAAACTATACACAATACCAGCAGTTTTGGCTTGAGCGCGCTCTTCATCCATGAAGTCGTGCGTTCGAATCACGGGTGAGTTTAAATATGGTGAAGAAAAACATCGTGACCGCATTTCAAGTTTACCTACCTGATTTGCTGTGCTTATTAAGAAAGAAACAGATATAGAAATCTGTGTCCAAGAATTGTAGTGCCACGGTTTAAATCATAAGGATCCGCCTCCAGGCAGACAGTCTACAAGCGCCCCGTGTAACAGATGACACTTATATATAATTTAGTAGGTTTTATTTCTATTCCTTACAAACAAACAAATAATATAGTATTGTCTTTTATTGACATAACTTTTACACATTTAAAGAAAACACTTTTTACCGGTTAAGTTAAATGGATCTGGATCCAATAATATCAAAATTAAAATCTCAAGATAAACAATCCGCGAAAATAGAGGACACCGCGAGTCATTTCTGCCAAAACCCTCCATATTTTAGTCGATACCAACGCCGGGGAAATAAATACAGATAATACAACTTTTTCTACAGCTGTGATACTTTTTGACATTCAACACGTCCTTTGAAAAATTTAAAATTAGGTAAAATAATTGTAAATTTATAATAATACATAACTTCAATCCGGTAAAAAAGTGTTTTCTTTAAACAAATAATTAATAATTTTCTGTTTCTATACGCTTTTTTATTTTACATACAGAGCACGAGTTCATAGCTAGTGTTACTAGTCTTAAAATATTCAATTAACCCGACGACATTTGGAATCATGCCAAGCAAGGCATAATATGTTTATATATTATTTAACATTACGTCAAATATTATATTGTCTAGAGGACACTGAAAATAGCATGTTGATACAAAACAAAATAAACATTAATTGTTTAAAGCGGCCGGCAACGCACCCACTAAAAATGGGTGTCTATGGGCTGCG